GGTTGTCAGGGCAAGGCAGGAGGAATGGGGAGTTATTGTTTAATGGGTGCAGAGGTTCAGTTTTATAAGATGAAAAGAGCTATGGAGATGGATGGTAGTGAGAGTTGCACATTATAAGTATATGAGTATATTGCATTTAATCCTACTGAGATGTACACTTAAAATTGCTAACTGTTATGTTATGGGTATTTTACCACAATTTTAAAACTTGAAAATAAAAAAAAAAAAAGACCTGTAGAGATTATTGGAATCTCTGAATGATGTCATCTTCCCTGCAGAGGGGATTTACTTCTGTCATGCTGGCAGTCTGATTTAGCTGAAGTGGCCTTTATTCAGTGTGAGACTGTGTTGGTTGGGCATGGCTTTGTGAAGGCTGGTCTATTACTTGTTCACCTGTACTTAAATGATATAATCCTTTAGGGTTCCCAGTTGAAAGCTTAGAATATTTGCCAGGCCTCCTCCTGCTTGGAAGTCCCTATACTTCTGATTTTGGCCTTGCCAGACTGGAAATTGCTGAAAAATTTGCTTAGCTTTCCAGACTGTTAGTTATTGCCAATAAATCAACAAGTACAACAAGGGGGAAAATGGTACCAAATGTTGGGTTTACATTTCCAGATTTCCTTTATTGTTTAGATCTTGGCCTTACCTGCTTCCTTGGTAAATCTTCTTGTATCTTTTTTTTAAGCTAAATATTCTGACTATTTTTATAAAGTCAATTCTGATGTAAACTATTCTGCCATAGCTGATAAGGAGATCCTAAGTATATGACTTCTTATTGATTTGGGAAGAATTTAAACCAAAGATGTAATAGGCATATCTCAGGAATATTATGGGTTTGGTTCTAGACCACCAAAATACAGTAAATACTGCAATGAAACAAGTCACACAAATTTTTTTATTTCCCAAGGCATATAAAAATTATGTCTTAATTCTTATTAAATTCTAGTCTACTAAGTGTTTAATAGTATTATGTCTAAAAAACCTATATACTTTACTTAAAAATACTTTATTGCTAAACAATGCTAACAATCCTCTGATGCTTCAGTGAGTGGTGATCTTTTTGCTGATGGAGAGTCTTGCTTTGATGTGGATGGCCACTAACTCAACAGGGTGGTGTCTTGAAGGTTGGGGTGGCTTTGGCAACTTCTTAAAATTAGACAACAATGAAGTTTGCTGCATCAATTGATTCTTCCTTTCACAAATGTTTAGCTGTAGAATTTGATGCTATTTGATAGCATTTTACCCACAGTAGAATTTTTTTCAAAATTTGAATCGGTCCTCTCAAACTCTGCTATTACTCTTCAACTAAATTTACAGAATATTCTAAGTCCTGTATTGTCATTTCAACAATGTTCATAGTATCTTCACTAGGAGGAGATTGCATCTAACAGGGCTTTTTTGGTCACCAATAAGAAGCAACTTTTCATTTGTTCAAATTTTATCATGAGATCGTAGCAATCAATCACAACATCTTCTGATATTGCTTCTAATTAGATTCCTCTTGCTATTTCCAGAACATCTTCCATTGAAGCCTTGAACCCTTAAAAGTCATCTGTGGGGGTTAGAATCAACTTCTTCCTAACTTATTAATGTTGGTATTCTGCCCTCCTATGAATTGCAAATGTTTTTAATAGGATTTAGAATAGTGAATCCTTTCCAGAAGATTTCCAATTTGCTTTGCCAGATCTGTTAGAGCAGTGGTTCTCAACCTGTGGATCCTAACTGCTTTTAACTGTATTAAAGGTTCGCGGCATTAGGAAGGTTGAGAACCACTGCATTAGAGGAATCACTATTTATGGCTATAGTCTTCTGAAATGTATATTGTAAGACTTGATAGTTGAAATTATTCTCTGATCTATAGGCTGCAGAATGGTGGTTATGTTAGCAAGTATGAAATATCATTAATCCTCTTGTATTTCTCTTTATCAGAGCTCTTGGGTACTAGGTCCATTGTCTGTGAGCAAGTAATACTTTGAAAGGAATGCTTTTGTGGGGGATGCTATTTCTCACAACCTTGGGCTTAAAATATTTAGCAAACCATACTGTAAACAGATGTGCTGTCATTTAGACTTTGTTTTTCCATTGATAGGGCACAGGAGGAGTAAATTTAGCATAATTTGCAAGTAGATTTAGAATTTTCAGAATGGTAAATAAGAATTGGCTTCAACTTAAAGTCACCAGAAGTGCTAGCCCCTAACAAGAGGGAGTCAGGCTGCCCTTTGAAGTTTTGAAGGAAAGCATTGAAAGCTATGAAAGTCTAAGATTTTCTGCATGAAAATCTGTTGTTTAGGCTCACCACTTTCATCAATGATCTTGGCTAAATCTTCCTTGCCATAGCTTCTCTATCAGCACTTTCTACTTCACTTTGAACTTTCATGTTTTAGAAACAGCTTCTTTCCTTAAACTTCATGAACCAACCTTTGCTAGCTTCCAACTTTCCTGCGGCTTCTTCATCCCTCCCAGCCATCACAGAATAAAAGAGGTTAGGGCCTTGCTCTGCATTAGGTTTTGGCTTAAGGGAATTTACATAAGGCTCGTTCACTTTCTTATCAATCATGTTTCTGTGAAGTAGCACTCTGAATTTCCTTCAAGAACTTTTCCTTTGCATTCATAATTTGGCGAACTGTGCAAGAGGTCTAGCTTTTAGCCTGTCTCAGCTTTTGACATGCTTTCCTCACTAAGCTTTAACATTTCTAGATTTTAATTTAGGGTCAGAGATGTGAACCTCTTCCTTTCACTTAGACACTTAGAGGCCACTGTAGGGTTATAAACTGGCCTCGTTTCAATATTGTTCTGTCTCAGAGAATAAGGAGGCCTGAGGAGAAGGAGAGAGACAGGGGAATGGCTAGTTGGTGGGGCAGTCAAAGTAAACACAATATATATTTAATTTTGTTTTTGTTGCAGTTTTTGGCTGGGGCTGGGTCTGAACCCACCACCTCCCGTATATGGGACCAACGCCCCACTCTCTGAGCCACAGGTGCCGCCTGAGCAAACACAATATTAATGAAGTTCCATATCTTATATGCATATGAGCATGGTTTACGGTGTCCCCAAACAATTCCAATAATAACATCAAAGATCACTGATCAGAGATCACTATAACAGACATAATAATCCATGAAAAAGTTTGAAATATTCCAAGAATTACCCAAATGTGACACAAAGATAGAAAGTGAACACATGCTATTGGAAAAATGGTGCCAGTAAGTTAACTTGACACAGGGTTGCCACAAACCTTCAATTTGTAAAAATCCACACTCTGTGAAGTGCAGTAAAGCAAAGCACAACAAAATGAGGTATAAGAAGACTTTTAAAGCAATCCATGCAATAGATAAGGCTTCAATTTTGCATTCCCTTTTACATATGCTTTAAGAATGAAAGGATCATGAAGCTTCGTGCTCGGTGTGTCTCTGTATCACGCCATGGTTTATTTCATCTGTTGATGTTATTTAATGATCATAAAGAGTCTCAGGATCCACTGTATGTTGATTCAATTTAATTGAAGTTTTTGTTTTTTATTTCTATGTGAATGTATGTTTAAAAAGGAATGACAACATTTTTTGCAAGTAAAGGAGAAGTATTAGTAGGTTAAATCTTGTTTTTCTTTCTTGTGCACATACAAACACACATGCACATGTACATAATATGTTACATTTATAAAACTCTGATTAACGCTGGGGCTACATTTGGGAAGTATTGTGCTCATTGATACAGAACTATTACTTCTTGGCCTTTTGTTTGAGGGTCAAGTGCATTGATATAGCACTCACCTGGTATTTATATAATCAGTAGGTATCTTATTATAACTGACTGAACTACACCAGTGTGTTTGTAGAACTGCAGGCAAGCTGCACAGCAGGTATGGGATACTGAAGCCACAAGATCCAGAAAAGACTTAAGACAGCTCTTAAAAAGACTTATAACATTTCTTAAGCACTAATATCAAAAGCCTGAAGTAGTACATCATTTTTCCTGTGTTTTACTTTTATAATTTTCAACACTTTTTTTTTTTGGATAAAATTGGAAAACTGATTAGAAAGGGCATCTCAGTCATCTTTCCTTGATACTCCTCAAGCCCCCTTTGAATTTTGTGGTATGCTTCTTTTATGCAATAGTTCTATTCCTAATAGAGTAGTGTGCATGTAAAAACTAAAATTTAAATAGTATAGTAATTAAAATGCTAAAGATTACTATTTAAATGAAGTGTATGTGGCATTCCTTTTTGTAAATCAAAGTTTTACTCCTTAAATTTTTTCATTTTTGAATGAATAGTTATTTAGCAGCCTATAAATTGAATCTAATTATTTTATATGTATTAGATAGCATATTAAAGTTATTTTACACTGACATAAATGTTAACTGGTCAAAGAATGGATTATAAAATCATTAAAAATATCCAAAATCTCCATGGAAATTATAAAAGATGAATATCAGGAAAAATCAATGTGCATTGTATAGACAATACCACAGATGTATTTGGCAATATCTTTGGTACGGTAAATTTTGATTTGTACATCTGTGAGGTAGAATCTTGGGCCATTAAGTCTCTACATTACTTTAATCTGACTTAAAGCCTGCAAAAATATAAATTGAAATCTATAGTAACAAAATAATTCCCATAATGTCCTACATGCGAATTATTCCTAAAATTCTTGAACAGTATTGTCATTTGAAATAACACATAAACTAATATCAATGTTTGGATTAGAAATTATTATTTAAACAACATTTTTGAAGTGTGTGAGGATGTCTAATGTTATAACTACAATAGCCTCTGAATCATTTTCTTCACTTTTATACTAAAAAGGACCAAGTAAAAAAATATTAGTAATATTGCAAAAGTGAGTCTTTGTCTAAGTTAAGAAGACATCCTTCCTATGTGGCTATTTAGAATTTTTCTTAAGAACATATTTTTCTACTAGAAGATTGGGTTCTGTGTACCATAATGGAAAAATCTGGGTATTACATACCAACAGTATCACTCAGGAAAATTGAATTACCTGTTAAAGCTCTTGTAATCGGGCAGATCTGCCTTGCCTTCAGGTTTGAAAAGTTTGGGGTATAAAGCCTCTAAAAGCTCCGGATCACTGCTAATGGCTTGTTCCCAGGGAGACTGATAGTACTTAGGGATAGCTGTGGTGTTGAATCTTTCAGCAGGAATTTCCTTCAGTGGTCCAGAATATCCTTTGGAAAAATAGAGCAAGAATAAGTAAACACAGAGTGCCTGAGAGTTACTAAACTTCACCTAATGTTTTGCCACTTTTCATGCTGGGGTATGTTTATGACGAATGGTCCCTTACAAATCAGCACTCTGATACTGCTCGACATTTTAAAACTCCTTTATAAAAAGAAACCATTGTTCTTAATGTTTAATTTTTCCAAATCATACAGTTATTTTTTCCCTGACTTGTCTTAATGTATATTTGTTCAGTAAAACTGTTCATTTAACTTTTAAAAAATTGTGCACCTTACATTAATTTATACTATACTAATCACAATTAATTAATTTAAAATGTTTACTGAGTGCCTGTTATACATATACACATCCATACATATATATATATACATATATGCTCCCGATGGTAAATAAAATGTACATATGATATTGAATTATATAGACAAAGTGAGACTATATCTTGGGCATCTTTCCTATCTCCCTATGTCTATTATGTCTAGTTTTTTTGTATAAATTTATGGACTACAAGAAATTGTTACATGAATACATTGTACAGTGGAGTGGTGAAACCAAGGCTTTGAGGTCTCCATCACCCAAATAAAGTACATTGAATCTCTGTATCTGTTCTTAATGTAAGGATTCCTTGAGAACAGAAATTAATTCTTCTATTCATTTAGCAATTCCATATAGTAATAACCATATAATAAAAATTCCATGTGATGAGAGTACCAAATAGTATTAACATTGACATTTGCGTATGTCCTTTCTCTTCCTATTAAAAAAAAAATAAACCTGCAACAATTCAAAAGGAAGGGTTGCAGCACAGTGGTTGGAGCTAAAAAGAGTGTGTGTGTTGTTTAAGAATACTGTTATGTAAGAAGGCTATAAAGATGGATGGGGAGAGAATTAAAATTAACTGAGTGCTTATGATATGGTAGGGACTGTACTTATCACACTTAGTTCTAACAACCCAGTGCTGTGAGCTTTGTTTTCTTTATTTGATAAATTGAGGGAACTGAGGCCCAAAGAGATTTATTTTCTTTCCCATCACAGTAGTAAAATGGAAAGAGCAGTAGAATGGCAGGAGTGACTGGGTTAAACCTAGATCTATCTGATTTTAAAGCTTGTTTCTTCTCCCACGTAGTTTATGCTATAGATGTAGACCCTGTTACCTGCTTTTCTATTATAACATTTGTTTGAATGCTATTGAAGAACTTTATTGAAATGCTCTATTTCAGAAGTTTCCGTATTTTAGTTGTGCCTACTTGGTCTCCTTCAGTGTTATTTCACTAGATCTAGCAATGGTTTTTCTCACTGTGTTCAGTAAGAATGCTCTGATAAATGCAACCTCACCAATGACCTATTTTTAAATAACATTTAATGTTATACAGATGCTTCACCTACATAATTTCAAAAAAGTATTACATTTGAGTATTACTGTTAAATTTATCACAAAAAATGACAGATATCACTCATTTCAAGATAAAACTATTTAAAAATTTAAAAGCATACTTTATACATTACCCTTGAGAAAAGGCTTGGATTTTCAAAGACACTTGCCATAAGTTACTCTGAAAAGCTGTGGTTGTTGAGAAGACATATTACAGTTTTTTTGAAAGATGTTTCTATTTAAAGAATATATTGACTGGATAATAATGTGCTTCTCTTTAAAGGTAATAAAGAAATATACATGTTAAGGAACTGCATTTGGACCCTTGAAGGCAGCAGAGACTAACAAAAGCAATTTCTCCCATGAGGTCACTTTTGAGGCCTTTGGGAATTTGGTTTAACTCTTGATCCATCAATATGGCCTCATAGACATTCATAACCACAGTTTCATAATTTGTCAAGTGAGGATTATAATAAATATGTCACGAAGTTATTGTGAAATGAAAGACGATAACATATTACATAGACTTTCATAAATTGTACAGTCCTATACAATTAGATCTGCAATATAATTACAAATGACTTAATTTTTAATATAACAAGTGATTACCAACAAACACAATGAAACTTTAAAGGAATTGAAGCTATCATAAATGTTTTACATGGTTCTATTAGGTCTGAATTTTTCCATTTATCTTGAATTTATCTAAAAGCATGAAAAGGATGTATTATTTAAACAAAACTTAGTAAAGGCTTCAAATGACTCAAGTCCTATCAGCGATTTTATTGCTCTGTTTGGAAGGGGATTAGTTACCTGGTGCAATGCTGTCTGGATTTGGAGGGCTTCGTGGATCTGGGGTGTTGGGAGGAGTCGAGGGGGCTTGCTGGGAACCACCTTCCAGGGTGTTTCCATCCACTTTCCCATTCTGCATAGCCATACGGTGCTGTATTTGATCAAAAGTAAACTCTGCTTAAAACTCAAAAATGTTAGTCACACTCTTGCATAATAGGAGCTATATATGCACAACTCCATTTGTATACTTCTTAATTTATATACAATTAAATACAGTCCTATACAATTAGATCTTCAATATAACACAATAAATTACAATGTCACTTCATTATTTCATGGAGCCTCAATAATTTACATGATAATATGACTGAAAACTTGAATGAGACATTACTGATACCGATCTAAGATCTGTTTTATGATGACAATCCACTTAACAATAATGAAAGCTGAAATTAATTGAGCCTTATTGTGTGCCAGGCATTATATCTAGTGATTCATATCAATTACTTCATTTTTCTATTCACAAGATCCCTATGAGATAAATGTACTTAATTTCTAAATCTTTACTAATCTACTCATGTAGAGCATATTGGCCAAACATTTGGGTTAGTAATCCTTAAATTACTATTATATTTTGTAGTTGGGCTTTAGTTAAATTCTTTAATGCATAGAAAGTTTTAAAATTTAATCTGAAATTTGAATTGCAGTCCTATGTATCCCCCCCAAAACCCTAAGCCAAAAACCATTTATACTCTAAGTTACATGTTCTTGCAGAAGGAAGAATTTATGATTTTTAGAAAATAAGATGCTGAGAAGAGACATTCATCTTTTTAATTTTAGAAAATTTGTTATACTGTCATGATTTATGGCAATAATATGGAACTTTCAAAAACGTTCAATTTCCATTTTAAGACAGAAAAATAGACCTTGTGTTAGGTAATGTCCTCAGAAGTATGGCACGATTTTATTCTTATAATAAAGCATTGTTTTAATTATATATGGGCAATAGGTGTCTTTTAAAAAGAAGTGCAAAAAAAAAAAAAGTACCTAAAATCAAACTATCTTTTAACTTTAGAAAGAAACAATTAATGAAGAGTGTAGCAAATAGAAACAAATCCTAAGTCTTTTTCTGTAAACCTGCAGAAAATATTGGCTAAGTTCTTTTCTATATTTGTAAGATATTGTGGTGAAACATACCTTTATTTAACTTTCATAGGGATTTTAGTATAAGATTATTTTGTTCTAAAACTTAAATACTATAAGATTATTTTGTTCTAAAACTTAAATACTATGATCAAAGTCCATAAACTAAGAATCTTGCCTGATGAAATTATGGGAAAGTGACGTTTATCCCCATTTTTAGGCCTCAACTACACAGCCACTGCCCAAGTGCCCTTCCCACTCGCACTGACTGTAGCATCCCCCAAAGTCTGCTTTCAAATCAGTAGTCTCAATTTATTCCTTTGTTCTTTCATCTGTTTCATCAAAATACTCATTTTTCCAGGGCAGATAATATCAGTAACAAAATTAAATCAGCATGAATAAATTAAATTTGACAGATATTGATAATCTGCCTTGATGTATTAACTTTGAAGGGGTATCTATCTTTTCAAAGAACAGTTTTGAAACCAAAGAACTTAATCTCTGTTAGAATTTACAAAGACACATTTTAGGAAGGACTTTTCTCATGCCTGTCTCTGCCAAAGGTTAAAATTTATAGCAAAAATATTAAAACCTTAAACATTTTTAAAACTTGAAACATTACATTCTGAACTGCTGGCCCACTGTCACGTTCACACTTTGCTGTACTTGAAAAACTGAAATGTTTTCGCCTGGTACTCTCACCCCTGCCTCTCTAGTCTCATCTCTGCTCAGTTTTCAAGGTGTGCCCTAAGCTTCAAACTAAACCACTTCTGATTTCCTTATTATCTGATATGATTCTCTACTTTTGATTATTTGATTGTGGGAGATCCCCTGGCAAGAAGTCCCTTCTTCCTCATTACCACAGTCAGATCTGTCCTGATTTAAAAACCACTCCTTCCCTGATCCGCTCTCACGCTCCAATCGAAGAGTTTTGTCTTTCTTCCTGCCGCTCCCACACCGTTCGCCCTAGTTTCCTTTTTATCTTCTGTATCCTGTCTTATTGACGCCCATGTTATCTAGTTGAGAAGGGGGGATTTTATCTTACTCATCTACTCGTCTTTTACAAAGCCTAATCTGGTGCTTTATATAGCATAAACAGTGAACATTTGCTGAATTTTTAGTGAATACATTTCCAAATCCAGCTGAGTTTTTTACTATAACCTTTTAAAAAATTACACCTTCCTTTTTTACTTCCGTTTTCACGTTCACATCCGCTTCCTCACTCATGCTTTTACTGTGTGTTCATTCCCCACCCAGCATTTCTCTCTCAGTTAGCCTGAATAGGGACACTTCTGAGTGTGGCATTGCTCCAGTCTTTAGAAATGGTCCCTTATTGCCTAGTGAGCAGAACGGAAGCTCTTAGGCCTGGTGACCAGGATCCTGGACTCACCTCGTACCTGTTCCCTTTCACCTTGCATCTTTTCACAAGCCAGTTCCCCAGTGCTGGCCTCTGCCCTCCTGATGGCCACATGCCCTTCCATCTGCTTGGAATGTCCTCCTTCCTGCTCTTCACCAAATCAAATCCTAGGTTTTCTCTAAGATCCGTATTAAAATTGCCCTCTTCTTTCTGCCTAACTTCAGCTACCAGAAATAGCTCCATCTTCTGTATCATCTCAATACTTCAATAAAAGCTGGACCATCTTTTCATGCTCTTTCTTATTTATTTTCTGTTACCTATTGCTTCTTGGCCTTTTGGCTAAGATCAAGTGTATTTTCTGTTAGCTGGATTTTGTTACTGGATTTATGTTAGTTTGGACCTCAACTAATTTATAATCTGATTTAAGTCTAGTTGAGCACTATCAGTCTTTTGCATTCTTATACCTCAAAACTATTTTTATGTATTGTGGAAGTTAAAGGATCTTTAAACATGGATATTTAACTAACATATATGTAATATATAATTCAATGTTTTGCATTTTGAATTTAGCTCCTATCGTGTTTGACCTATTAATTAATTAGATTATTGTCCTTTTTTTCACTACCTTTTTAAAAAGTGAAAAGTACATGCCAACTTCAATTATAAATGAAAAGGTAGCTGAGATAAATGCAGGAAGTTTAAATCTGCAATGCATAAAAAATTACCTTTTCTAAGTTCCTTGAATGTGTTCATCAAATAAATTTTACCTAAACTTACCAGTCATTCTACCTGCATTAATTTTTAGGAATCATAATACTAACCTTCTGTAACCTTTTCCTGGGAATTAATGATGAGCAGGAAAATCAACTCTTTCTAATTAGTAATTATTAGGAGACACCCAATGCCTTTATATCATCATTATGTATACAAGCAAAGCCTTATAATTAGTTAGTAACTTATTATAATTATGAACCTTAAATTATAGCATTCTGTCATCTGAAATTTCCTCCAGAGAATTTAAATAGACCAATGGAAAAATATTTTCTTAACTATATCTCAGTTAAGTTGACCCCAAAGAAAACAAAACTAGAGCAATCTCCTATAGCCTGTCAACATGTATGTTAAAAACACATGCATAATATATATTGATGATTTCTGTGGGAATGTCAATGGAAGTAAAAGAGGAACTTTTAGTATCTTATAGTATCTATTCTATACTTCGTGCCAAATACATTGTAAAAGTTGCATTTTGAACAAAATGCATAGACATTCAGAATCCCAATATATTTAGTATAGTCTGACTTTAGAACTACTTTTTATAGCATATTCCCTTTGCCCAGTATGTGTATTACTTAAAATCTCTAGAGATTTCAAAAATCCTTTTTTGAAGTATTCAAAATAAAATATTCCTTTTGCAGTATTTTATAGAGAGAATTTCAGTTCTCAGGAAGTGTTCTTCCACTTTATTTTCCTTTGCCCACTTATTTTCTTCAACCATCTCCTTTTATGCCTTTTTGTTTAAGAAGTAATTCAGTGCATGAGCGAGGGCTTCAAAATTGGCTCATACAGCAAGCAATGTTTCTTGACTTTTTAAGAATGGACACTTCCTGTTAGTGCTGTTTGTGTCCTAGAAAGTGTATGTTGCTCGAATTCACCAGTGTGCCTCAGCAGGAAAGTTCACAACGGCATTTATTTTTTCTGTTTTTAAAATGATACTTAGTATTTGAACAAATGGCATTGATTACCAGAAGGCTGGCTTTCATTTTCATTTACAAGGGGTCTTAAACATGATCATAAAATTAGAAATGTATAAAACTAAGTGAAAAAATTATTTTGACAATATCTATAGCCCAAGGGAAGCAATAAACGTAAAACTTGTTCCAGAGATTGTGGTCAGTAGATGACGTTAACGCAGTGCAAATCTTAGAAAGATGATTCAAGAGCAGGATAGTACATAAACAGTTACTCTCTATCTTTCAGTCTTGTTTGGACCCCCATCACTAAATAAAGGCTGTATTCTTTTTAATCTTTGATCTCATAGCATTGTCTCTAGAAGAAAATACTCAATGAATATTTTCTAACAGTATAAACGAATGAATGGAAAAAGACCTGGACCCGATATTATATATATATTTTAACTCCTGTCATGCTAACAATGTTCCAGATTATAATCTGGTGCCTTAATAAAGTGAATGTATCCTCATAGGATCTCATAGGCTGCTTATCTCCAGTACTGATTTATTATTCAGGTAATATTTGGAATTAAGATAAGAGAACACACAGATCACTAAAGCCAGAAGGCACCTTAAAGAGCATTTGAGTTCATATCATTATTTTATAAAAGAGAAAAAACATCCCTTTTAAGTCAACTCTAAATCACATGGCTGGCAGGAGAGCCAGGACCAAATCCTGGTCTCCTAGCTCCCAGGCCAGAGTTTCCTTTACCAACAAACACCATGATTGATGTTGATGCCAAGAATTCTGAAATTCTCAAAGCTTGGTTTCAATCTTCTTCACTAGGGTGCTGCTTAAGGCAAATCAACATACTTCCTTGAATACTACTTTCCTCATTTCGAAAGAAGAGAGAGTAAATTTCATCAGACTTCAGGGTATGTTATGTAACTTGATGAAATGTGGCTTCATTGCATACACTATTATTGTTTATTGCTCTGAGTTATGTATAAGCATTTAAGTTTTTATTTCAATAGACTCATTTAGGGCCATTTTGTTTACTTAGTGCCTGATCTTTTAGGAGTAGTGAAAAATTTTCCAGACATGTTCTTATAGATTTTAAGTATAACCAGAACATTGAACCACAAGAACATAAGATTATTGTCCCTAATTTAAAATATGGATAAGAGAGTAAGCTGTGTTCATAAGGACATTGTTAATCTCATCGTACCTTTTTCTGGAACTATAAAGTATTATTCTTAGAGAGATAAGTGGAAGTTAAGAAAACTGGCATTATTCATTTATTCAGATGTCTAGACATGTTGATGACTTTTGAAAGCCTCTCCTTAGGCCACCTTATTTTATTTTACTTCATAGAATGTCTCCTCTGTTGTCATTATTGAAAGAATATGAGTAGTCAGACTCCATAATATGAGGTAGGGATTATTTTTGACTCAGACTGTATTAGCCACAGGTATTTTCTGGCAAGAGGACGCTGGGCATAATTATAGGGTAATATAACATTGCATTGATGTAGGACTTCAGGTGAAAAATAATTTCTCACAAATGTAAATAATATAGTTGAGTAAGAGTCAATGTCAAACTAAATACACAGTTATACCCACTATACCTAAATTTAATCCATGAATGTTGAAGGATGGTCCCTAATGTGAAAAAGAAAATGATTTAAAATGTCATTTCAACATTCACTGTTAACAGAAACAAGCTTCATGCCTGAAAGGGAAATAGAAATTTTGGAAATGAATGAAATGTCTGTGTTTGTGAGTTTGGATGTTAGTTTCTATAATGTGTCTTAGAATTTATCATAAAAGAACTTGGTGAAATTAGTGTGTTTTCTGTAAAAAAGTGTGCTGTCAATTCAAAACAACTTAGTAGTGACAGCAGCTGGTAAGTTTTCAGGTTTAAATTTGTAAGTAAAGTTGAAGACCCTTCATCGCTGGAGGAAGAAACTCTCAGGAATTAAAACATATTTATTGTAGTCTCCATCATCTCCTGAAATTTAGGATCAAAGCACTATTTCTTTTTGGTTCTTCACAAATGCTATGTGATTTTAAAGCTATTTCCCCAAACCTGGCTGCCTTTCTATTACAGACTACTTCCTCTATAATCTCTTAAATAACAGTTTACATGAATACCATATTAATATAATAAGTAAAATGCAGTTTAATTAATTTATTTCCATCTATGAGCTTTCGTTGAGAAAATCTTTCTCTATGAGTTATGTCCATGCTGGCTTTTATTGTTAATAGGAACCAGATTTCCCTACACAATGTGGAATAAATGCTTTAGAGGAAATCAGATGTGTCTGTAGTTCCCAGGCATGCTTCAGTGCCAGGATATATTCAGCCAATAAAATGCTTATCCTTACTTTGTGGAGTGCTGTGTGCTTTGGAAGTGCCTCCATCTCAAACATTTAACTAGTGGTGATAAGAGCATGGAAACTTCTAGCATTACTTCTCTCTGCTCGCTCTCCCTCCTATCGGTAGAACAGGTCAGTTCCTCAGTGCCAAATCCACAAACTTACAATGTCCCTATTGAACTAAAAGCATACTCATATCATCTATAATAGTTTTTTGTTTACCCACCTAAACTCTTCCTTATGATGGGAAAAAAAAATCTTAGACTCAACTGAAAGAAAATACATAGAATACTTGCTTGGGAATCCAGCGATACATACAAATTTGGAAATGATGCTCATTCATTTAGATACCACACAGTCAAATTATACCTACATTTATTTGTGCTTTAGATTCATACTGGAAATTTTCAAATGTGTATTTGTCAGATCTTCTTTGGCGCATCTTAAATAGCCTGGCACCACGGTTACTGAGATGGGATAATTCTTCCAACATGATGTCCCTGGGGATGCTGACCTTTTTGCCCAGGTCCATGCCGTCTACATCTGTAAAACAATATTCAGATGGATGAACACCCTAAGGTAAGCATATTTTAATGCTCTTCTTCATTCCACAATGCATCGCCTGCTTTATGCTGTTGTGCCGACTGCCTTAAATGAAACCCTGGACTCACCACTTTCTACCTGCATGATCATAGATATGCTACTTATTTTCTCTAAAGCTCAGTTTCCTCATGTCTCAAGTGGGGCTAATTATCTACTGCAAAGCATTGATATGAGAACTAAATAAAAATGCTTCATAGACAGCACCTAGCATTATAAGAAAGAGTAAATAAAAGTTAACCGTCATCAATATTAGTACAATTAGTGAACTGTTCTTCTCTCCACATTTTATGTATCAATTTGAGTTGCCCCTTCACTGAAATACCTACCCTACCCTCCCACCACACCCACTTTCCCAATCTTGGTCAAAATACTATTAATTCTACATCCAGCACTAAGCAGCTTACATAAAGGAAGCAGATGATAAATACTGAGTGAACGTCCTTTCCAGTCCTGCTCAAATGCCATTTCTGTGACTCCTTTCCTTAAAATATCTCTTCATAGTAGTTTATATCATCTCCACAATACTGAATTATGTACCCTTGATTATTTTGTATTGTTTCATGGTTTGCATTTTTTTTATGTTTTAATCTTTGTGTCCCTCCATGACTTACACATAGAAGATATTCAGTAAATCAGTATTATTTTCTATTTCCAGTACCAAAAAACTTTCCCAAAATCCAGAAGAGATGAAACACCTCCACTTGATGTCTTTAATCAGGAATATATTTAGGTAATAACCAGAGTTCTTCTGCCACTGTGGGCTACTGTTCCATGGACAGGAACAAAAGTTGGACCATTAGGAAAATAAATAATTATTTTGATCAATTAGGGCAACATCTTTGATGTGAAAAACTAACCATAATAATTAGACTTTTGAGAGTGTTTAGGATAAAAGAACAGAATAACTTGTTAAATTTTCTCCCCATTAAAAAAGTAATTTGTGTACATGTTTTGATATGACATAGAGAGGAGCTCCATTACCAGTAAAAGCAATAATATCAACATTTTTGCTTCTGGAAAGACGGAGGAGATGTATTTTTCCCCACACATCTATTAGGTATAACTGAAAGTCCTGGACATTATGAATAAAATAAAAATAAAAACATTCTAAAATTGGGGTAAAAAGGCAGACCAATGGGGGACCCTAGGAACTAAGGAACAACATGGAGGTGAATTCTCTCTCTTTTTTTTTTTTTACCTCATATATCTTAGACTGGGAGCTGAACATGCTGGCAACCCAGACATACCAAGAGACACAGGCAAACAAAGCTCCAACAGAAAGCTGCTCTTTTTCTGTAAAGGACCTGGAGGGGAGCCGCACAGCAGGACAGAAAATGTTTAGAGAACAGCTACTCTGCTTTAGCCAAACACCACAGAAAACACTTTGGCCTTGCCCCACCCAAGTCAATAAAGACTATGTGCACAGCCCAGAATTTCACCCTGTGGGGCTCTCACAAGTTTCTCCAACACTCCCTCTACTAGGGTGGTGTCAGAGAGGCCAAGTAGCAAGTTGGAACTTTTGTTCCTTTTGGCCAGTGAAAAGCTCCTCCCTGCAGTGTTAGTGAAGACTGTGGCAGAGACTGAACTTCTATTTTCTCCCGGCAATAACAAGGAGCCTCCCCTAAGCATCAGTGGGGGCCACATTGGGAACCTAGACTTTTACTTCTACTTGGCAGTAATGAGGTGGCACTCTCCTTCCTCTGCTATCAGATAAGAACAGATGAACAAGGGGGTTTAAAGGAGAGCAAAGATCTCGGAACACAATATGAAAATGTCCAGATGTAAATAAAAAGTCCCTTATCATACAGAGAGCTAAGAAGATCTCAAATGGATAAAAAAGACAACCAGATGACAACACTGGGATGACTGAGGTATTAAAATTATGTGATAAAGATTTTAAAGCACCCATATTTTTTGTAATGCTTCCATGAGTAATTAGGGAGTTGTTTGAAATAAATGAAAAAATTAGAATGCTTTAGCAAATAAATAAATTAATTAACATTTCAGCAGAGAAATAAAAGATGTAAAAAACCAAATGGAAAATACAATAATCAGATTAAACACCTCAATAGATGGTCTCAGTAGCAGAATACAGGGGGGAAAGGAAAGAATCAGTGAACTGGGAGATAGTACAATAGAAATCATGCAATAAAAACAACAGAGAGGAAAATAGGCTTAAAAAATGAATTAACAGAATCTTCTTAAGGACTCAAGGGACTGTAGTAAAAGATAAAGCATTTGCATCATTGAAGTCCCAGAAGGAGTGGAGAAAGAGGATGAAACTGGAAAACTACTCACAGAAATAATGGCTGAAAACTTCCCAAATTTGAGAAGAGATGCACACTTACCGATTCAGGCAGCTGAGAGCACACTAAACACAGTCAACTCAGATAGCTCTGCTACAAGACTTATAATTAAGCTTCTGGAAACTAAACATAAAGGAAAAATATTGAAAGAATCCAAAGGAAAACAACAACTCACCTACAGGGAGAAAACAATTAGAATGACAGCAAATTTCTCATCAGAAACCATGACGGCCAGAAGGAAGTGGCACAGTATTTTTCCATTTGTTGAAAGAAAAGAATTATTATCCCAGAATCCTATGCCCAGGGAAATATCCTTCAGGAATAAAGGAGAAACTGAGACATTCTCAGCTGAAGGAAAGCCAAGAGAATCTGGACATCAACCCTGACAGCATGACTTGATGAAGTTCTTTGAACAGTAAGGAAACAATAAAAGAAGGGAACTTGGCACATCAGAATAAAAGAACACAGTAAGCAAACACATGATAAATATGATTTACCAAAAATTATAACACTGATAATGTAAATGTGCACAGAAAAAGTATGTGAGATGATTATATTATAAGCAGGGAGGATAAAAGGACATAAAAGTAGGTAAGTTTCTATACTTCACTTGAACTAGTAAAATGACAACATAAGTAGATTGTGATGATATGAATATATAAGGCAATACTTAGAACAACTCCTGAAAGCTACACAAACAGGTGCACTTAAAAACACTGAAGAAAAACCAAAGTGAGGCTAAAAGAACATGTTCAAGTACTCCCATAGGAATTCAGAGAGAAGGAAACAAAAATGAAAAAGAAAGATGGCAAACCGAAAACTAAAAATAAAATAATTGATTTAAGCTTTAATACACAAATAATCACATGAAATTAGTACATCGATTAAAAGACAGCAATTAGAAGATTGGATTAAAAATGAACCAACTATATGATAAACTAACTTCAAATAAAATATACGGGCAGGATGAACGTAACAGGATAAAAAAAGATATATCAAGCAACCTTAACCAAAGGAAAGCAGGGAGCTATATTGATACCAGATAAAGCAGATTTTAGAGCAAAGAAATGATTCCAGTGTCACTCCACCAAGATGATCTGGAAATCCTAAATGTGTGTGAACCAAAAAAAAAACCGAGCTACAAAATATGTGAGGCAAAAACTATAGAACTAAAAAGAGAAATGGACAAGTCCACAGTTACATTTGGAGAGTTCAACATCCCTCTCTCCATAAATAATAGAACAGCAACACAGAAAATCAGTGAGAATATCAAAGAATTCAATAGTCCTGTCCACCAATGGGATTTCATCAACATTTATATTCTACTCAACAACAGAATGCAAATTCCTTTTAAGTGCCCATGGAATATATATCAAGATATGCCATATCTTGAACTATAAAATAAACCTTAACAAATTTAAAAGAATTAAAATGTTCAGAGTATTATTTCTGATCACAATGAAATCAAACTAGAAACTACTAACAGAAAGATAATAGGAAAATCTCCAAATACTTGGAAACTAAACAACACACTTCTAAATAATCCATATGACAAAAAGAAGTCTCAAGAAAAATTAAAAAAACATTGAACTGAATGAAAATAGCAGTAAAGCTTATCAAAATTGATGGGACAAAGTTAATGCAGTGCTGAAAGGGACATTAACAGTACTAAATGC